GAAGCTCCCATATTTTAGTGTGTGCCTTCTTGTCCTGTCATTGAGCACCACTGAAAAGAGACTGCCTCCATCTTCTTTACACTTTCACTTTAGATATTTGTACTCATTGATGATAACCTTCCTGAGCCTTGTCTTCTCCAGGCTGAACAGTTCCAGTTCTCTCAGCCTTTCCACACAGGAGAGATTCTCCAGTTCCTTAGCGCCCCTTCACTGGATTCTCTCCAGTATGTCCGTGTGCCTCTTGTACCAAGGAGCCCAGATCTGAATACAGCACTCCAGGTGTGGCCTCACCAGTGCTGAGTGGAGGGAAAGAATTGCCTTCTTCCACCTGCTGCTAATACTTTGCCTAATGCAGTCCAGGATACCTTTAGTCCTTCTTTGCCACAGGGGCACATTGCTAGCTCATGTTCAACTGTCTACCAGGACCCCCCTTAGGGCCTTTTCTGGATAACTGCTTTCCGACTGGTCAGCCCTCAGCATGTACCAATGCATGGGGTTGTTCCTGCCGGGTGCAGGACTTGGCACTTCCCCTTGTTGAATTTCATGAGGTTCCTGTCAGCCTGTTTCTCCAGCCTGTCAAGGTCCCTCTGGATGGCAGAACGACTCCCTGGTGTTATCAGTTACTCCTCCCAATATTGTATCATCGGCCTCTTTACTGGGGGTGCACTCTGCCCTGTCATCCAGATCTTTAATGAAGATGTTGAACAGGCTTGGTCCCAGTACTGGCCCCTGGGGTAAAATGGAGATGTTAATTGAATTGATTAGAAACTGTAAAAACTGTGGGTTTTGGCCTTTTTTGCTGTTGAAAGTAGCTGATAGGCTCTTATAGTCTTGACCAGGCAAAGGTTATTTGTGACCTTCTGTTCTTCCTCTGTTACCTTTTCATTTTTACCTTTTCCACATCCCTTATTCTCCCTCTTTTCCCAGCCCCTGTCATTCTGCCTACCTCAAGCTCATGCTTCATGGTTCTATATGTGATTTGACAGGTCATCATTCAGCAAATAAATATTGATAAACAAAACAAAATGCCATATATGAGCTTAATATTGCTTTTGTACTAAAAATATTTGTATTTTCAGATACAACCCGACCTCCAAAGAAAGATGAAGAAAACGGGAAAAATTACTACTTTGTATCACATGACCAAATGATGCAGGATATATCCAACAATGAATATTTGGAATATGGCAGCCATGAGGATGCAATGTATGGGACAAAACTGGAAACAATACGAAAGATCCATGAGCAGGGACTAATTGCAATACTTGATGTAGAACCTCAGGTAACTGATGAGAAGTATATGAAAATGGGACTCATCACAAATCAACCTTATTTTATTGAGATACATTTATTTTTATTGATTGCAAAGTAAATAATATATACAGTAATATGAAACAAAAATCCCTGGACCACCAGGGTATCAATTTGTGAAGTAAAATTCTGGTAACCATCTTGTTAGAAGAACATACAGTAGAAGTAAGTTAATACTTCAACTTGGTGTGCAACCACTGTAGCTTGAAAATCTACTTACCATGTAACTTTTTACTTTATTATCCTCATGTCCAGTGAAACGTGTCAAAACAAGTTACTGACATTGCCTACTAGGAGTAGTGTTTTGATATTTCAAAGATTTCTCTTTGATGCTGTTATAGATGGTAATCTTGTTCCTGAGTGACTCTTGGCTCCATATCACTATTGGGCATGGTCAGAAACATTTCTGTTCAATCACTGATATTGATCCTGTTTGCACAGTGACCAGATCAGTGTTGGTACCTTATAAACTCCTTTCTGTGTTGTGGTATTAGACTTTTCAGAAGAAGGCAGGAAGGAAAATCAGGCTCTCAAGAAACACTAACAGATTGTTCATTCATTATATAAAATCTTCAGTGGAAAATGCTGATACATTTCCTTTGTTACATCCATGTAGTCATGACTATGAGATGTGTTTATATTTTTTGTTAGGTGGAACAACATGAATATGGACAAACATGATGTTTATATTAATCTAGGATATTGAAGGAAATGGGAGGAAAGGCAAATTAAAATTGTTACCAGTGTTATCTATTTAAATTTGCTGCCTTCTTTCTTTTTTGTGAATGGATTCAAGAAGTTCAAATTCTTTAATAATTTCATAAGAGAAATAAGATACCTGACTAAATTATTTAGGACTGTTCACATAGTACACTGGTATGGTGCTGTTCTGAAAAATAAAATCCCATGTTTAACAGTTCTCCGGGAGAGCAGCGTTTATACTTACTTGAAATGGAGCAGCTGATAAAAGCAAACTTTCTTGATAAACCTTTTCAACTTGCATTATTCATAAGCATCACAATTCTCAGAAGCCATTTTAATCTTTCTCAGCATATAGTTACATTTGGTAACAGCCACCTTTGGTACACTTCTTCTATGTGTGTATAGGAAGCCTCTTTCTTAACTAGCTTCCTCATGCATCCATCTTAGCTTATTAAGACCAGCCTGTCTGTGGACTTATTCCTAGTTATCTTACACCACTTGCCTTTTTTTCTCATAGGTACTCTTAGTTATGTGAGTTTTGTTGACTTTCATATATGGGATTTATCTCTTTGTTTTGAGGAGGTTGGCATAGATCATATACATAGGTCAGTTTCAAGCAGCAGAGAGGAAAACCTCTTTAGCTTGGGAAGAGGATGAATTGTGGGCTCTGTTTGCTTGTTTTAAAAAGAAAACAAACTTTGGAAAATACAGAAAGTAGAAGGAGCAAAAAAGACTAGCCTTTAGCCTGACTTTATCTTGTCCATCCATTTGAGTTCAGCTGACGTATGTTTGTTTCCTTTCCTGCACTTCAGTCTAGCTTGGATCTGTACCCAAGTTTTATGTATGGCAGCTCTGAGTGTCACTCAGTAAATTATGGCTAAGACAACTTTTCATGATAACTCTTCTTTTGCATAGATTTGGTTCAGGGGATTGGTGCTGCATTTACAGCATAGTGCTATGCTCACTTTTTAAAAACTTCAAACCACTCACATCACATTTTCATTTGTTTCAGAAAATAATAATAAGGAAGTGTTGGTACAAAAACCCAGGGGAAAAAATGGTAGAAAAAATTATATTGTAATCAGTATTTATTCTAAAATACAGTTGGCTCTTTTCCCCAGTTATGGCATGTCTGAATTTTTTAACTTGTTAGTCATTCAGTTTAAATGCAAACGGAATTCTTACTCTTTGAGACTGTATGGAAGGAACCTCTCTGAAAATGCTAAAGCTTTTATTGTCTTGAAAACTCACTTAAGGGTAAATATACACTTCAACCACCAAAAATGTAAAATAATACAATAAGCTAAGTGTCTGTGTTACTACAGTCGTGATTCTTCTTCAGTTAAAAACAAATACCAGTGTTGGTAAATCAAGATTTTATATGTTTTGCTTGTGCAGCTAAACTTGTTTCACATTGATTGTTGGAGGATTCTCCTAAAGTATCTATCTGATTTTTTTTTCACCTAGGCATTGAAGGTCCTGAGAACTGCAGAGTTTGCTCCTTTTGTTGTTTTTATTGCTGCACCTACGATTACCCCAGGCATTAATGAGGTATGGCACGTTGCAGTCTAATGTCTTATCAGGGACAGAATTAAGGATGAGATTCAAATATGCAGATAAGCCTCATTAATTGTTTCCTTGTTGAGAGGCAGAAAGACAGTTGCATGGCAGCATTATTAAGTTCATTGAGATATATTTATTATTTAGTAACAGATTTTTGTAATTCAACATTCAAACTTCAAGTTAAAGGATCCATATGTTGTATTCTAAAAATAAATATTCTTTTATTTCATTCCCTAGCTCAGAGATCCATTTCAAATCCTTAACAAGTTATTAGCACAAATTACTCAATTCTGACTTGCAATGCTAGCACTAAATCACAGCTGGCCTGAACTGAAGAAATGGATATGCATGACTGTGCTGTCATCCCACCTTTATCTTTAGTATTTTTTCTATACGGCAAACATATGTATGAGAAATAGGCTTATTAAGTTCAGAGACTGTTCTCTATGAATTGGAAGCTTTGACTAAAGGGTTAATTGCTTCTAGAACAATGTCAAGTATTCATGGAGGTCCACATCCTGAATTTCGTACATTGTTTTTCTGGAGTATCCACTCTGCAGATTACTACTGATTTCAAAGATGTTATCAAGCAATTCTGGATTTAGAGCTCACAACAGTAAAACAGGGAAAACAATATTTATACAAACACTTTATCTGCTCAGCCTTTTTTAAACCATGATATTAAGGTATTTAATATTTAATCAATTGCATTTGACCATGAATCTGTTCCAAATGTCCTACATGGCTCCTTGGTCACGCAAAAATAAACTCAGAAGCCCAGTTTCTATAGAAATGTAGTTACAATATCATTAGTATGAAACTGTAACATTACTGCAGAGGGTTGCAGGAAAATAAGGAACAAGGCAAACATATTTAAATGTGAGTGCCCTGAATGATTATCAAAATAGCTAGTGGAGAGTGAAAAACATTGGCCTCGACTGCAATTTTACTGGCAGTTGGGGCATTCTACTAGTTCATTGTTGCTGAAGGGACTGATTCTCTCTGACTTGTTTCTGGGACACATAGTGCCAGTCTGCACTGGCCATGGCACTTACCAGATCCTTTAGTGAGCTACTTTAGCTCTAAATTGGATTTTTGTTAGTTTTGAAGCGTCTCGTGAAGACTCTGGCAAACACAATTGCCAGAACAAGCAGGGAAAGCATATAGCCAGGAAGAGAGGTGGGGAGAGGGGGAAGAAGGATCTTTTAACTTTTACAGCAGTAAGTTATGTCATTTTACTGTGGTTTATGGACCCATACTCTAACTGGTGTACATCATGAGTGTACAGATTAAGATCTCTCAGAACATCACAATTTGCAGTGTTAGTGAAGTGACAGTTTGTCTAACCACTGGTGTTGGTAAATTTGTATGATCTTGAGAAAATACTAAAATTTTATATTTTGCACTGACTTTGCTTTTGTGCAAGCAAATGGCATGGCAGCAGTAAAAAAAGAGAACTGCTCTTAGGATGCATCAGGCAAGCATTGTGCTTGTACCAGTGCTCAGGCAGCCAGGTACCCTGCATAATTATCTAATTGCCTGGGTTTGTTGCCTCCATACCTGTGTCTCAGCTCCCAAATAGTATTCCTTGTCCTCACTTATCTGCCAGTGGTACTTAACTTTTAATCTTCCAGCTGTAGGATATAATATAGAGATATTTGGGGCAGCTCATATGAGGCAGAAAATGTTTTCCATGGTACACTGGGAAGAGGACAGAAATGTACCTTTTATAGTAGTGGTGGGGAACTACTTGTTCATGACAAAGAAATATCAGTATTATGTTCTAAATATTTGCATTCATGCTGTAAGACTGTCTTTATTTTAAGCTTTTGTGACTGAAGTCTCTGCAAACAGGGTTTCACTCAGGCACATGAATTGCTGAACTGAGGCCATGCTTATAAAGCATGATAATTTATGGATCAATTAAACTTAAGGAAAGGGTGGGCAGGAAATCATAATAGCAACAGACCTTACCCAAATACAGGATCCTGTTTTCCCAGGTTTACTGGGCTGCATGAAGGAGATACTCAAACTGTGTCTGTGTGTGAGCAGCCTGCAAGGCAGCAAACAAAGGTGGAGAGTGTGTTCCATATTTCCCATTCATGCTTCCTTTTTGAAGAGGTTCATTTGCATAATAAGTATCCCTTTCTGTTTATCCTCTTATCCTGCTTTGTTTTACTTATGCTTTTTGAGAACACTTCTGTAAATGACTGTCCTTTTTCCCCCCTTATGTTTTCTTAAATTTCATCTTTGCTTTTCTTCTCATTTTCCTGCACTCGTACTAATCGTACATAGCTGCCAAAATGGTGCAGAAAATTGCCTGTAAGTACCAGCTAGGGGCTGACAAGGTAGTCGTGGTTATTTCAGTAGTTTTAGAATGTAGATATGCTTGTTCCTATTCAACGTTACTTTTGCCATTGGAATAAAAAATTAATGTAATGATGACTTCAGATACCTGCAGTAAAATTATCTGCTAGTGAAAGAGAAACTAGAGAGTAAAATTTCTACTTTTACAGCTGTACATCTGAACTTTGTGGTAAAATCGGTGTAGAGGCCTGATCTTAGAAGTATCTCTCTTGAGACACTTTAGCCTGTCATAGACCACAAAAAATATCTCAGTAATCAAGGACCACACAGCAAGAGGTAGGAGACAAAGTATTATGCTTTCCAACTGAATATAGCAGTGCACTATGAGCAATTCTGCAAAGCACAAAACCAATAAAAATCATATAGGAAATCTCCCAGAGTGTACCCACCTGTCCAATCACAAAGGAAATGTAAATCAGATTATTTCTATGCTAAAACAGAGAGAGAAGAGAGGTTATCAGGAAACAGGGGAGTAGTTCCTCTTTCCTCCAGCTGTTTTCTACCTCACATTACCCAGGCAGCAGCAAAGAGGAGTTGACAGGCTCCACTTTTTTGATCTAAATCTTTATTGAGCCAAATTCTTCTGAATTTTAGCTATGCATCCTCCCTTCCTACAGCTAAAGAATAAAAGTATCTTTTTCTCAAGAAGTGTGCAGTCCACCAGCTGTTTAAATTGAGGAAAATTTCTTTCTGTTGGAGAAAAATTGACAAAGGCCTAATGGTATGTTTATACATTATTCACAGCCCTAGAAGGGAATATTAGTGATTTGTTGTAGGCTGTGCTGTGGCTGTCACAAGTCACAGCTATTGTCCTATGAACTTTAAGGCAAAAAACCCCCAAAAAACTAACAAACCCAGCCTTCAGATACTAAAGGTACTACCTGTGGCCATTATGTACATGGGAGAGATTTCATGGATAAAAGCCATGTTTCACTCCTTTCTGTCCCAGCTATGGTGGAGAAGAAGATTAGGAAAGTGAACTGAATTCTAGTGATAGGGAAGAAAAGTCTGTTCCAGTAATGGACACAGTGCAACTAAACACACATAAAAGGCCTGTTACGTGAGAGCTGAGGAAAGAAGAAAAGACAGAGATGTTCTGCTCCCAAATGTGGAATTAATGAAGTTGTGGCCACTCGTTTGTCTGTCTGCAGCTATCTGAATATTTCAATAAATATCTTCTTTCTTGACCCTATTGAGAGCACAACTGATGGAGAATATTCTTCTTGGAGAATAATCTGAGGTGTTCACTATTCAAAATTTAATTCAGAAATTTTAGAGAAATTGAGAGGATCTTACTACAGCAAAAATTTTGAGGAAGTGTTAACTTCAAAGATGAATTTTGGCATTTAAGACTTACAGACACAGAGGAAACAGCAGTCTGATGCAGTTTTGAATGTACAGATAGATACTCACAAACCACAAATACAGATGAAATTTGGTCACAGAATAAAAACAAAAATCAAGAACTTTAATCTCATTTTGCAAAACTTTAGAAAATTTGAACCTATTCAAAAACTGCTGCAGTGGCCCTTCTCAAACTTGTTACTGCCCTTGAAAGTTTATGAAAGAAGTAACATTTTACATTTCCAACAGACTAGGAAATTTAGATACTCCAAAATACAGTAAAGTTAGATCTAGGAGAATCTAAGAGACAAAAATATTAAAATTCAGTTAATTTTTGAAACACTTAGTTTTGTGACATCCATATGTACAAGGTAAAAATTAGTATTCATTCTTCCTTATCTTGCAGTTGGGGGGGGTTTTAAATGCAAATTTTTCAGATTTTTATTGTCAGTCACAGTAAGATAGATGCTTTACTGAGAAAAGTTTGTTCTCATATTTGTAGGTAAAGATGACACTGATGGGAAATATGAATAGTGGTTAAATAACTACATAGGACTTAAGTTCTAAGGCTTCATGGGGGGTTTTCAGGTGCTGTTAGCCTTGTGCCATGAGATTAAAACTCTTTTAAAGGTGCAATATGATTTTGTAAAGACTGGCTTTAAATATAAAATAAGTCTTAGCTAGATATATTTAAAGCACTGAAAATATTCTGCTTGACAAGTATGATTTTTTTTTTCTTTGTAGGTTAATTTAAGCAGAAAAGTTTAGATCCTCTGCTGATACAAATTGATTTCTCTTTCGGAATCCATGAGAAATTGGCAGTGTACCTAACTAGGTTTTTGGCTTAATGACACTGAGCCATATGAAACATTCCACAAAAATATTTAATATTAGTATTGATCCATGTTGTCCAATTTCTTAATAGAAGAAATCGTATTTCCATGCACTGGTATTTTCTACGGAAGCTCCATGCATCACATCCCTTGTACAGAGTGCTTGTGAGGAATATTTGTCTAACTCGGAATTAAATTTGTAGTGTGAAGGAGACATATCCCCCCTCCCCTCATTTGAGGCTGCAGCTTCTGGAAAGAAGCAGAACTGTAACTTTAGTGCAGAACTTCTCCTCCAGAAGTGGCTGGTTTCACTGCTATAGGAAAGGAGAACTGTCTCAGTGCAGGTTCTTCCCTTCAGAGGACCTGAAAGCCAGTGTTCCACAGCTACTTGTCACTGTAATTACAGATACTTGGAAGCTAAAACAGAAAAAAAAAGGGAACAGGGGAATTTCTTATTAGATGGATAAAAGTCTGTTCCCAGAATAATTTCTTGTCAAAACAGCTATAGGCACTGTGCCTGTGCTTCCTGCAGCCTAAAACTCTGTTATAATGATGTGTATCCCAATTGACTGAGCAAGTAGGATGACCCAACAGAGAATTCATAGCAGCAGTAATTTATACTATTCATATATAATTTTTTCCCATATCCACCCCAAACCTGTGGGGCAGAAAGGACTTGATCACTTTCCTGTGGTTATTTCAAGGTTCATGAAAGCAGCAAATTATTTTTCTTTACTTTTCCTTTCTTTTCTTTTCTTTTCTTTTTTTTTTTTTTAATTTCTAAGGGAATTCAAAGGAAGAAAATTGAAACTTATAATTGCTGCAGAGCATTAGAAGGAAGGTGTTTGGAATCCTTCTCTCTCAGGAAGGCAGACCTCACTAACAAAGCCCATCACTGTAGCGTTGCTGGATGCACAGTCTAATAGCGCACCCACAAAGTAGGATGCACTTGTTTCTGTAAAGACACCAAGCCATGGAAAGCACCAGTCTCCTGTCACTGGCCCTTCTTGAGCATGGGCTGTGTGGTTTGTCTTCATGTTCTCACATGAAGATGCTGGGAGTGGCATGCTCTGAAATAGGAACCATAAAGTAATATGGAGTGAAAACTTCCTTATCAGAAAATGATTATTAAAGGAAGTAGGCCCAGAAGACTGATGTTGAACAGAAAACATTACCAAAATCTGGAACAGCTGATACCTGACAATATACCCATCCTGTTTCTCATGTTCTTACCTGGACATAGGCCAAATTTGTGCTCATACTTCTGCACTTCATACATTTTATTCATATATGGTCTCTGTTGCTCGTATCTGTGCTGCTTTTCTAAGCTTCCATCCTCTACCTTGCTTTGTTAACACTAGACTTGTGTTTTGTCTTAATATTAATATCTGAGTGCTGTTTGAATGTCAGCTTCAAGAGAGAAATTGTGCCATTTCTCCCATGCAATTTCCATAGATTGAGGTGGGGGATCTAAACCACCTAGGCCTCCCTAAGGCTTTTTTGCTCGTTTCCTTCTCTGTAGCAGTTAGAAAGCTGGTTTAGAAACATACAAAAGGATCCAACTTCTCTCTCTCATTTTCTTTTCTGACCCCGAACAGGATGAATCTCTTCAGCGCCTGCAGAAGGAGTCTGAAATCTTACAGAGAACATATGCACACTACTTTGACCTAACAATTATCAACAATGAAATTGATGAAACTATCAGGCACCTGGAGGAAGCCATTGAGCTTGTGTGTACAGCCTCACAGTGGGTCCCAGTCTCCTGGGTCTACTAGACCAGTCATGAGAGAATTGAAACGAAAAAATCTGTCACTACTGGGAACCACCTCATACATGGAAAACCTCTTTGTTATTGACCTTGTGTCAGCAGGTCTTGGACCCTAGAGACTACCTAGATGTAGTGTGACCTAAAATATAATTATTGTCATGTCCGAATAGATAGGAGGAGGGGAAAAAAAATCAAACACTAATTTAAAGAGACAGTATCTTTTTTTTAATCATTTCTCCTAAACTTTAATAAAATGTATCTTTAAATATATGTATTATTCAGTCCTTTGGAATGTTATATTTTTGGAAATCATAGCTTTTTATTTCAAGGGCCCCTAAAAACTGCACAAAATAGATGCTGCTTTCTATAATCTATTTTAATAGTAATAATAATATGATTCTGTTACCTTAACTTGGGGGTGGAACACTACATTCTTTTTAGAGTCTGATTTTATGGATTGGAATACTTTGCTTTCCTTTATTTATTTGAAGTAATTAGTCTAGTGGTTACGAAACAAATTCATAAATTTTAAAGGCCTTTTTTTGTGCTTTTTTTTTTTCTAGGATAGCATTTTTAAGTACTTTTGTGTAACATCCAGATAATGTGATACTGTCTCTTTGAAGAACTCTGTAAAACTTTTAGAAATTTGAAATTGGGTCTTGACTCTTAATGCATGTGGACAGTCGCAAGCGTTCATGCCGTTGGTGTATCTGTGTTGATAAAACCTGTAATCTACAGCAAAGTACATTCCGTTCATGGGAACACGTACCCAAGGGAATAAAGTAAAATATTATTCTGACTAAGTTGTAAACCTATGCACATCCCTTGCATTTTGGGCAACTTTATAAAAAAAAAGAAAAAAAAAAACAAAACTGATTTTTATTAATAATAATCATGTAGTGAAATGTGTTTGTAATTTTGTCTCAATTTAATTTGTTGTAAGGTGGGAGGGGGCAATTACTGGTTTCACCATTTCAGATCCGTGTTGTCCGAGAGTATTAACGTTTTAATTAAGTTTAAGCAAAGAAATGCTGATTTTTAATATGTATGTAATTGTTTAAAAATGCACACATTTTGAAAGAAAATACTGTGCAATGAAGAAACCAGTTTAGGCATTGCGATAAACTGACTATTCCAAAAGACTCATCTACAACAGCCCTGTAAATTCCTTTAAAAATGGTAATTGACTCTACAGTCTGACCAATTTTTTTTATTTTAAATATACTTCCTTTTATGTGTTCAACAATTAAATGCTTTTGGGTCCTTCATTTCATTGCAGGGAGTTTCAAGAACAAATCAGCAGCTCGTGCAATAGGAAAAGGTTTCTTACAGTCTGTTAAGGGAAGGCTCTTGGAAAGGCACAGCCAGTAGTGTGTTCCAGGGGCTCTGCTCCACCTGTACAAGCACAAGTTAAACTAATTCAGAATCGAATCAGAGCAAAGCCAAGTAAGAAAATTTACCATGTGCTGACCTGGTGTTTAGTTTCCCTTCTTCATGCACTTACTGGTCCAGATGGTTTGCATTTTTTTCTGAAAATGGCTACAGAAGCAAGCATTGCCACCTCTTTTTAGGTGTCAGAAATGCAGTGTTCCTTAAAATGATTTATCTTCAAAGCTTGGTTGGTGTGCTGTTGTGTAGTATGAACTTTAGTGTTTGTATTGAAATGATAGAGTGTTCTCAAAGGATTTATCCTCAGAGTTGAACTATCAGCTGTAATTGATCTGTGGGCTGTTCCAGTTGTTTGGCACCACTGCACATGTAATCAGAAAAAGTTCTCACAGTTGAACCTTTATAATAGTGGTAATCATCTGAAACTGAACATGAGCAGGCTTCAGTGTGCGCTCACAGCCCAGAAAGCCAACCATATGCTGGGCTGCGTCAAAAGAAGCATGACCAGCAGGTTGAAGGAGGTGATCCTGCCCCTCTACTCTGCTCTTGTGAGACCCCACTTTGAAGTATTGTGTGCAGTTCTGGTGTCCTCAATATAAAAAGGACATGTAGCTGCTGGAGCAAGTCCAGAGGAGGGCCACGAGGATGATAAGAGGACTGGAGCACCTCCCGTATGAAGACAGGCTGAGAAAGTTGGGGCTGTTCAGCCTGGAGAAGAGAAGACTGTGTGTGGAGACCTCATAGAAGCCTTCCAGTATCTGAAGGGGGCCTACAAGGATGCTGGAGAGGGACTCTTCATTAGGGACTCTAGTGGTAGGACAAGGAGCAATGGGTTTAAACTTGAAGAGGGTACGTTCAGGTTAGATATAAGGAAGAAGTTCTCTGCTGGGAGGGTGGTGAGGCACTGGAACAGGTTGACCAAAGAAGTGGTGAACAATCCATCCCTGGCAGTGTTCAAGGCCAGGTTGGACATAGCCTTGGGTGACATGGTCTAGTGTGAGGCATCCCTGCTCATGGCAGGGGGCTTGGAACCAGATGATCGTAAGGTCCTTTCAAACCCAAACCATTCTATGATTCTATTATCATATAGCGCATAGGTTGCTAATCTTCTGCTTACTCCTACTGCAGGTTGGGTGGTCAAATCTCTGTTCTTGCAAAATCCTTAAGCAAAGTCTAGGTCCAGCTAAGCCTCCTAGCCAGCCAGGTCAGGCAAGATGTTTATCTCGTGCAGCACTCACAGTTCAGCTTGCAGCCTGCAGCACAGAAGGGAAGTTGGTCCATCACTTTACCCCACCTGACTGCATCCCAAAGCAAGTACTGTAACCAGGTCCTTGAGCTTGCAGTTTGTGAAGTGCTCAAAACTAATTGATGAGAAACAATCTGTGTGAGCCTTGTGTAAGCAAGCCAGCATGTAAGAGGGAACCTATAGGAGTAATAATAGCTGCTTGCATGTTCTGAATTTAGCCCATGAAAAAAGGGGATAGGTGCAACCTGTGAACTATTTAGTGAGTAAGAGGTAATTTTTCAAGTAGTTGTGTCATGTCATTCTAGTCCTGGATGAATCTTATTGGGTGTTCCTGTAGATCAGCTGTTGCAATAGGAGTATCACATGCTATCTGAGCTCATCGAAGTGACAGATTCATTTACTCTCAAAACTACCTCTTTTCCCAGTAAAGCACAAAGGTGGGACAACCTACTACTGAAAATCAAGCAGTGGAGTGTTTCTGATGTTAGAAATACAAACTTCTTCTCTGGTAAGCAGTGGAATATGACTTCAATGACACTTTCTTCTTCTGAAATGTTTATGACATTAAGCAGGCAAATAATTTTTATAATTTGGGTTACGGTCCACATAAATGTTTTGACTACACACTTTTGACTCTGTTAAAGTGAATTTCTTGGGAGTTTCTGTGTACCCATCCTATAAGAAAGAAAACTCATAATTCCCGTGAAGGTGCTTCTGCCTTATGTAGATGACAGTAAGTAATGATACAATGTAACTAATATGCTTTTCTTCTCTTAAGTGGAGCTACCATTCAGTTAATATTGCACAGTAGAAAGACTAACTTGGACAGCTCTGTTTCTTTTATTCTCATGTATAGCCTTTTGTCAAGGGACAAAAACTGTAAAGCACATCAGTTAGCACACTGTCCTGCCTCCTCTTTACCATAGACTGTTTTCCTTGTGGGAACCTTCAGTAGTAAAAGATTAACGTGGAACCACCCCCTAGGCTTTAACTGCAGCTTAACCAGGCAGCCTGGTGAGCTCTGTGAACTGGTTTCAGCACAGTGCCAGGAAAGCACAGAGCAAGCCCAGGGACTCCTCAGTCTGCCCAATGAATGCCTTCTCTCCCTCCTGCCTTAGCCAAACCCTTCTGATGCATCTCTGTTTTTTGTGTGGTGTTTAGAGGGCAAAAGGCTGCCATAAATTCAGCTGGAAGCTTCACTTGCATAGGGAAGACTCATGCAGGTGCAGAGCTAATGTTATGATATTTAATTTTTTTCCAGTCCCCAACTGGAGAAGGGTCCTTCTAGTATTGTAAATATCACTGCATAACTTAGAGCATCTCTTGGACTTCTCTAAATTCATGCTGAATGTGACCTCAGAAGCAGCCCTGGGATTGGGAAGAAACAAATACTTCTGTTTGCCCGTTTTATACTTTATTTTTGTACAGGGGTTCATAGATTTGTAAAGAAAACTTGGTCTTATCAGTATGCTGCCTCTCAGTCTGACTGATGCCTGTGATTTCAAGGTGTTAAAGTTAGTCCAATAAATGTTCATCAACCTCTGCTTCCATTGACTTAATAAAAGTATACTAGGTTATTCAATGTCTCAGAGTGGTAAGAGTATTGTATGGAAATGGTAACCTAGTTTAAACAATCCTGGACACTGTCATGCAACTATTTAAAATCAGAGGGGCATTTTTAATCTCATCACCAAAACTGAATTCTTCAGTATGTTTTAGCATTGCTTATCTTTTTATTTGATTTGGGTCAAGAAAGATGCTGTGCCATTAGCCTCTAAGTGAAAAATATTGCTACCTACTACCTAGTAAGGTTACTCACTTGGTTTTGAAATGACAACATAGACGAGGATGCATGAGCAGCATTGAACTGGAGCGTATACTTCAAGAACTTGATACCAGAGCCATTAGGGAAAATTAATGCATAGGTTAACTTCAGTATTTGATCCATTTTTATTCTTTTCCCTAAGGAAATTATTTATTATTTAAACAAATACTTGGAAATACTGCCAAAGCTCATGATTTTTTGCAAACCTAGATTGAAATATAAGATGCAAACAGTTCTGGGCCCATTCTCTTCCACTGCAGTTAGTTCTCAACATCTTTAATGAAGGCAGTTAGAACTCAATTTCGGACTTTAAAATACTTGTAGAAGAGGATTTGTGAAAACTAAAGGAAAAGTACATTTCTTGACTGTCTCGAGTAAGAGTCATCTGGTTTTGTAAGTTAAATCAACAGAGTATGAACTAAAGCAGATACCACAAGAAGTCTGCTTTCTTAATGTAAAGCACATTCATTTTCTTAATAAGCCTGACTCTCAGACTAGTTTCTTCACTACTTTTAATGAGCTAAGAAATACCCGTAACTCTTACCAAGGAGACTGCTGCACATTATGTCAAATAGTCACGTATAAATTAAATTCCTGCACAACAGGAAACATATCATAGACAAACAGGGCAGAAGTAACCTCTTGCGAGTGGTTGTGCCTTGTGTGCATACCATGATTTTTTACTTGCTGATACACGTGGTTAGTGCACCTACAGTCATTTTCACTTTCTCCCACTTAAGTGATTTTTAGCAGTCCTCTTCTTCAATCCAGTGAAAGCTGGACTGAAGCAAATTCAGAATCTTTTTGACTTCCTATGATTTAGCCTCAGAATTAAAGGCCTCTTTCCCAGACCTGTACCTGACATTAACAATTAATTATTACCTCGGAAATATTTTTCCCGTAGCTGTAATCCAACTTAGATTTTAGGCAGCTAGAAAGTTAATTGATTTCATGTAGTCTTAACACCTTCCTAAGAAAAAAATAAAGGGGAGAGAGGATGTATATGCATGTTCAGGCATTCTGCTGTATGCCTTTTTAGCAACTGCCATGGGAAGATCAGAAATAAGCAAACTGAATCTGGCCACCTCTCTACCATATGGTCTTATGATTAATGTGTAACTTGAACCTGGTTTTGTGTTGTGGAAGAGAACTGAACTAGTAGCACATTCCACACTGTGTCCATGCAAGAGTTCATGTTGAGTGTTAGCAAAGTAATTCCAAATTTTCCCTTATTGGTAGCTAATTTTTCTATCTATCTGCATAAAGAAAATACCAAAGGGGAAGGGTATTTGGTTGTTGTAACTCATCTTGGAACTGAAACATGAGTCTGTTTTGCTCCACTGCTGGCCATCCAGATGGAGACTTCTTTACTGCTTTTCACTAGATGGTTGTTGTGGGCCAAGTCCTGAAAAGAGCAGGGATGACGTGTGGGTTGTGCTGAATGTCACAGTTAACAAAGCAGGGGTATATCAAAAGCTTTAATTTTTTTATTCCAGTCAAGGGCAACAGTCAACAGCAAAAGCCCAAAACTTAAAAGGCAACAGAAAACATTTTACTAAATAAAATTAAGCATCTTTCTAGACACCAGCAATCAGAAACAAAGTGATGGTTAATGACCAAATTCAATCCACAGAACAAGGCAGTCTACACTCAGGATTTAATTGCCCTTTTTTTTTTTCCTCTTGTCATTTGAAAATCCCCAAACCTTACTTACATAATCTACATGCTCTCTTCAAGAGTTCATACCCAACCCTATTTGGATTTGTAAGGTACCTGCCAATAGAAA